TCGTGACAATTTGTGATAATTATCTGTTAAGAAACAAAGCTATCGTTCTTGACTGCATACGCGAAAAAGCAATGTTTCCACTTTTTATCATTAAACCATGTTCGAATCGTGGAAATCTTGGAAGATCACAGGGTTGTTTTTAGCATTTACATTCTGTCGCGAAACGCCTAGCAAATGCAACGCTGTTATTTCAAAGCTTTAAAATTGTTTATTTGTAAATGCGGCAACTCTGTATGTTTATTTGTCAACGTGGCAAGATTGTAAACCACGGTTCCATCTTCAGCATTTGACGAATTCTCTCGTTGCAAAAAGCCGACAGAGACGGAACCGTGATAAGATCTAAATTTTGGTAATTTGTCAATCGTTAATGTAATTCCTTTATTATAGAAATAAACTATCTCGCACTACTGCCATCAGCGCAAGCTACATGTTCAGTGGTTTGGAGGTCGGGCAGCTGAAGAACTCAGCCAATTCGTCAACTTGTTCACAAGTGGCACAGGAATGGAGAAGAGACACCATCTGCGTAACGTCCATAGCGTGTCGAGTTTGTGTTTGCCATCGCAAAGCGTGAGTAAAGAAGACGTTAAATCATTAACCCACATGCGACAGTTGCCGTTGGAGCCGTATGGTGGTGCGGTACCAAAATTGCTACTGGGCCTTGACCACTGCCATTTAGGTCTGCCTACGGAAGTCCCAAGGATTCATTGCACTGGGCCATACGCCGCCAAGACCGAGCTTGGCTGGACTGTATTTGGTCCAACAGTAAATGCTCAGCCCAAAGTACAACGATGTCTTTTAGTCAAACAAACCAGCGACCAAGAGCTTCACGACCCCTGTTGAAAGTGCAGATGACACCCGCGCGAAAGCAATCTTACACGCGTCGAGTAAACGGAAGGTACGAAACAGGGCTCTTGTGGAGGAGTGACGACATTACTCTGCCAGAAAGTTATTCAATGGCATAAAGGCGACTTCTTGGCATCGAAAGGAAAATGCAGCGTGACAGTAAAGTAAAAAGCAAAACATGATAACAAGCCAGGGAAATTGAGGCTGGTCTTTGATGCCGGTGCTGAAGCACATGGTGTGTCACTGAATGCTCATCTCCTGAAGGGCCCGCAAGATCTTTGTGCATTGCCATCGGTTTTGTTTCACTTTCGTGAGGGAGCAATAGCTGTATGTGGAGACATTAAGGAGATGTTCCACCAGATTTTAGTCCGCCCGGAAGACCGACGTGCACAAAGATTCCTTTGGAGAAATGGTAACACAACGTAAGATCCCGATGTTTATGAGATGAAGGTGATGACATTCGGTACTGCTTCCTCGCCATGTTGCACGCAATTCGTCAAAGCAGCCAACGCTATGGAGCATGCTAATCACGCCGCACGGGCAGTAAAGTCCATCCTAAACTATCACTACGTGGACGACTTTGTAGATAGCTTCTGCAGTGAAACGGAAGCTATTGAGGTTGCGGGGCAAGTACGTGCAATTCGCCAACGCACTGGTTTCGTGCTGCGAAACTTTGTTTCAAATTCTGAAGCGGTAATAACTGCTTTGTGTGGCACTGACGTCCCGGTTCCCATCGTCAGCAAAGACAGCCTGTCAATTGATAAGGTCTTAGGCATGTACTGGCAGCCGTCTGATGACGAGTTTAGGTTCAAGCTGAGATTCCATGGCGTAGACGACAAGGTCATAAACGGCAATAGGCGCCCCATCATGTCACCATCAGTAGCCCGCGGACGTGTTTTTTTATCGCTCTGTGATTATTGCATTCTACTTTGCATAGTTCGTTTAATCCAACTGTGAAATGAGTGTAAACATAAACTTGATAACTTTTCCTCAAACTAAGTGAGACAGTGACTCTAATCCTACATATTTTCTACTATTATCTGCCTCTGAAAATGCCGTGTATTTGTGCAAATAAGGTTGAGCGGTCGCAACCTAAAGTGCAGTGTGCTCAGTGCAATGAAATTTTTCACTTAGAGTGTGTTAAAATCCAGCCGGCTGACCTTGAGTTTGGCTTAAAACTGGTAATCTTTTCTTTGTGCTAAGTGTGCGTCTGCTCGGCGTGACTCCCTTCGCACGCCTCCACCTCCCATCGATTTGAACGAGTCCAATGCAGATAACAATGTCTCGGCAGACATTCAGCTCAAATCCCATAGAAGCACCAACAACCTTCCTGCTCTTTTACCACTTCACCAACATGCACACTCAACTGCTTCTGCTGGCATTGAAATTGTCCAAGAAGAGCTAAACAAAATCTTGAAGGAACACACATCTCAACAACCAAAAACTCTACAGTTAGCGTTAAATGAAATCTTAGATTTAGATCTTAGAGAAGAAAACGTGCGTATTATTGGTATTGTTAATTCTCTGCGCGAAGATATTACATCACCCGCCATACAAACTGAATCGTTGAAAGCCGACGTTCGCACTCTGCAAAGCAAGCTTCAATTTGATGAGCTGCTCTCGGCTATGTCAACGCTAGCAAGTGATATTAAGACACTCCGCTATCACAACGAACGTTCTTGCTCTAATCTCCAAAAAGTCGACAACAATTCGAAGAGCGTTAATGTAATAACTTCTCCTGCTAACTTTGCTGATGTTGTTGCCATAGATTCGCACTCTTTGGCTACATCTGTTTGCACGTCAACATCATCGTCCACCTCAACTGCTGCTGCTATTAGCTCTGCTGCTGCCTTTGATTCGAACTCTATGGCTCCATATGTTTGCACGTTAACATCATCGACTACCTCAAGTAATGACTCTCTCTCTTTTGCTGCTGCTTCTAACACCTCTGCTGGCGATACTGTTTCCGCTGTTGCTGCTCCTTCTGCTGCAGCTAACGTTAGTACGCTCCCCAGCCGTGACAAACACGCAATCTCCTGCACATAGGGTTGCCAGATTTTGAAACGGAGAAAGGAGTACATTTATATTTTCGATAGAAAAAAAGCAGTACATGACATAAAAAAGGAGTATATATTTTTTTTTAATTTTTTGTGCAATTTATTGTTACAAATTACCATTAATTAGGCACAAACAAACAAAGATATCTTAGAAATCTTTTTCAAAGCAACAATAAATGTGAAAAATAAATAACTATATGGGTTGGCTTTCCAATAGGGACGGTTGTTAAAGAGACGGTGATCGAAGGGGGAGTGTACGTGGCACCTTCTCCGACCTTTTTGGAGAGGGCATGAACCGCCATTGACAAAAATGTTACTCCCGACCACCTAGGGCCCCTATGGTTCCCCAGGGACCCCTTAGAAAAATTGCCAAAAGTCACAATTTCCACTTGCGCCCACAGTATTTTTGCGTAGAATTCGGTTCTCAATGACCGCCCTAATAGGAAAGTTTCCCCAGCTAAAAAGCTAAAAACTACAAAAGAATTCCAGACTCTTCCTGAATGTATGGGCATTTTTTTAATTTAAGCCTTATAATTAATTTAATATTTTTCTGATTTTTATACCCGAGCGCCCTGCCCCTAAGGCCATGCTTACACCTTTTCACTATCACACTTAACTTTGCTTACTAAGTAGTGTTTGCCACAATATGAATGGCAACGTCCAGCGCGTAAAATAATAACTGTCGCAAAGGTTTTTTTTTAAATAAAAGGGTTCTTTATAGATTTTGTGTTTTTTTGTTAACTTTGTAAATATTTTCCTTTAATTTTATTAATTGATTTTAAAATTTTAATGCTGATTTGCATTTGCCAGATTTGGGAGATAAGTACATGCGGCACGAACCTCTTTTTCAGGTGTATTTTTTCTTAGATTTTGTATAAAAAAAAGAAAAAAAACTGTATAGGGTTGGTCGAATTAATGCCCTCCTAGTCACCAGTTTCTAGTCTTTTCGATTGCTGAGTATGAGACCTTATGTTGGACAAAAGACGGATTATAAAGGACCCAAATGGGGGAAATTAGCCTATGGTTACAGAAGATATGTAATAAAGTAACCGACGAAGACTTGCGCTTTTCTCCCAAACCCCCTGGTAAACCCAAATGAAGGTTAAATTTAAAGACTATACAATAACTACTTTTTTTACTTGCGCTTTTTTTCTCAAAGTGTTTACCGCCGGTAAACTCAAATGAAGGTTGAAATTTAAAAACAAATTAAAAAATTGAAGTAAAATCTGTGGATAATTTATTTTTCAAAAAAACACTGTGCAACAGATATTATTTTACACCCTGTATATGATAAATTATTAATAGCTGGAAAAAGGAGTACAAAGCTAATAAAGGAGTACATTTCCAGATATTTTTTTTTTTTGAGTACAAGGGAGTACAGTGTAATAAAAAGGAGTACTTGTCAATGTTATTGTGGCTTGTTAACATTTTATTTTTAATATTTTTATTGAGCTTTGTACCACGATTGTTTATTAGGAAAAATTGAAAAAGCAACAAAGTCTAAGCGGTAGAAGTTATAGCACTATTTCGGAGATCACCACATCTCCTCATCAGACTTCTTTTTCTAGACTTCAGCAGGGATCGAACCTGCGAATTCGATGTTCAAAGTCAGAAGCGTTAACCACTGAGCTATGTACATCCCGTAAACTCTTGTTGCTAATTCATTTTCCTTATTCAACCAACTACTATCAAGTGCAGCTGATTTGCCGCTATTTAAACTCGACAGCGTGGTTGTTGTTGTCAATTCTATACATCCATTTGCTTATTTGCTTTTTTTGTATAGTTTCAGGCAGGCTCTTCCTAAACTATGTATTTGTCAATGTTATTGTGGCTTGTTAACATTTTATTTTTAATATTTTTATTGAGCTTTGTACCACGATGGTTTATTAGGAAAAATTGAAAAAGCAACAAAGTCTAAGCGGTAGAAGTTATTGTACTATTTCGTAGATCACCACATCTCCTCATCAGACTTCTTTTTCTAGACTTCAGCAG